ATTGCTCTGATCATCTTTGTGGTCTCCTCTGGACCCGCTCAAGCAGGTCCATGTCCTTCTGATCTTGTGGGCCCCAAAGATGGACACAGCACTGGAGGAGGTCTTATGAGAGCAGAGTAGAGAGGGAGAATCCCCTCCCTTGACTTGCTGGCCATGGTTCTCTTGATGCAGCCCGGGGTACAGTTGGCTTTCTGGGCTGTGAGTGCACATTGCTGGGTCATGTTGAGCTGTTTATCAGCCAGCACCTAAAGTCCTTCTCAGGGCCACTTTCAAACCGCTCCTCACCCAGCCTGTATTCGTGCTTGGGATTGCCTCAACCCACGTGCAGGACCTTGCACTTGGCCTTGTTGAACTCCATGAGGTTTGCACAGACCTACCTCCACAGCCTGTCTGTCTCCCTCTGGATGGCCCATACCTTCCCACCAGTGTGTCAACTGCATCACACAGCTTGTGTGTCAGGGGCAAACTCGCTGAGGGTGCCTCGATCCCACTGTCTGTGTCTCCAACATGTTAAACAGCACCAGTCCCAGCACTGACTCCTCGTGAATGCCGCTCATCACTGCTCTCCACTTGGACATTGAGCTGTTGACAACTCTGTGAGCATCCACCAGTTCCTTACCCACTGAGTGGTCCATCCATCAAATCCATGTCACTGCAATTTAGGGACAAGGATGTTGTGAAGGGCAGTGTTAAAAGCTTTGCACAAGTCCAGGTAGGTGACAGTAGTTGCTCTTCCTTATCCACTGTCCTGGTTTGAGTGAGTGATGGTTTTGTTTTATTTTTGTAGTAGAGGAGGGGGCTACAGTGATGGCCCCTTGTGAGAAGCTTCTTGAAGCTCCCCTGGCTCTAAGTTGAACCCACTTTGGCACCAAGGTCGGGTCAATTAGCTGCACCTCTGCGGTAATTTAAGAAGGGGAACCTGGGAGGAATGGTAGTAGTTGTGAGGAGGAGCTGTTAGGAGAACATCTGTGAACACCGAGGTCAGTGGAAGAAAGGAGGAGAAGGGGGGGGAGATGTGCTGGACCAGAGCCCCCCTGTGTCCTGTGGTGAGATGGCAGGGCTGCCCCCTTCACCACCCATGGGAGTCTGTGGTACATATGGATTTGTGGCCTGTGGGGGGCCCCATGCCAGGACAGGTGTTTGTGCCCAGAGAAGGGCAGGACTCTGAGGGAATCGGGCCCTGCTGTTATAGCTCAGCACTGGGAGGGCTGCAACACATAGATGTGACCCACATGCCTGTGGGAGTGACTCAAGTTGGAATCAGTTTGTGGGGATTGCCTCCTGTGAGAGGGGGACTGCTCTGGAGCAGGGGAGGAATGCCAGAAGTTACCCCCTCCCAGAGGTGGAAGAGGTAGCAGGACTGACCAAACCCCCCATTCCCTGCCCCCTGCGCTGCTGAGGAGGAGGAGATGGAGATACTGGGAGTCAAGCTGAGTGTGGGAAGAAGGGAGGGATGGGGGAAGGTGTTCTCAGGATGTGGTAATGCTGATCACGGTCCTACTCTGTCTGTTATGTGTTGTTGCTGTTAGTTCTGTATTAAATTCATGTTCTTTTCTTCCCCTAATGAGTCTGGGTTTTGCCTGTTCCTTAAAGGATGAGATCATCCCTCCCTGTCCTTATTTCAATTTTCTGGGCCCTTTGCTTTCCTCCTTCCCAGCATCAGGGCAGAAGGAGGGAGTGAGTAGCATATTTGCTTATTTTCCCCTTCCCAGTGCTGGGGTAAAGGGGGGGGGG